GCCTATGGGATAGAATGGAGAAGGAAAGAAATCTTTGTGACTATATGTGCCTCTGTTATTGCTTCTACTCACCATCCATCTTCAGACATCCAAGGTGTTAGAACAACTGTGCAGAATGAGGAGTGTGTACAGGACTTTGAAGAACAAGGGAATGGTGCCACAAGAGATGCTGTGCTGGGATATGTAGCATGGCTCATTATGCATAACAAGATCTCCCTCATGCCTCTCTACTGTTCATTGCCCCACAGCAATGGGGCTGCCCTGGTAAGGCAAAGCATCTTATGAGCCAGTATGCTCCAGATAGCCTTATGAGCCCTGAGAGTCCTGCTTCCTAGGTATGAGCAAGGACTCTTCTGCATGTGCAACCACAACCTCACCTTTCACAGTGAAGAACTTTCCAACTGCTTCTGTGTATTACTGACCATCAGCAGACCCTATACAGCCTATTAGAGAGGCTGAGGAGTGTGGTGATGGGTGAAACTGTTAGCCTAAAGGGGCAGATTCCAACACCCTGGAGAGAAGCTGAGGAGTAGATGTGAGAGAGAAAGACAGCAGAAATATCCTGCCTTTGCTCTACTAAACCCTATTCACGCATCCATCTCAGAAAACATTAGCATCAGAACGCTCTTCTTGGTACCAGGACAATATGCTGAAGAGCAGGCACAGAACAAAGTAAAACTTCAGAAAAAGTCTGGCTTGCTTCTCAGGAACATGATATTGTATTCCTAGTAAGAGCATGGCTTACACACACCACATGGAAGATACAGAAATTTCTTTCTTACTTAAAAGGAAAACTTTATTTTGATACATTAAAAAATCTATACATTTCTTAGACTAAAATACAGTTTTGCATCAGTATCCTGGCACAATGTCAGTTTACACAGAAAATCTAAGATTAGATCAGCACTGTTAATTTCTTTTCTCTTCCTGCATTCACAGCTTGCAGTATAAAATAGTTTAAGTTCTCAAGACAACAATGAACAGTGTCACATTTACTTTTCCCATTTTCAAAGGAGGTGGCATTCCACTGGAAAAAGGAGCACTTGTTAGTTGATCTTGATTCAATATAAATCACTAAGCCAGTCCAGGGGTTTGATTGCCCTGTTAGAAGTATGAGTAAAGGAGCATGAAAAATTTGTTTCCAGATGAAGCTTTGATGGACTATGAGAATGCAAGTACTGTCAAGCCTTTAAAATCTGTTCAGAAGATTTTCCTTTTTCCTTAGGGCAGTTTCTGTAATCAGCAACACAATTCATTATACAGAAATAATTATTTTCTATAGGTACAGTATTCCACCTTCATTTTGCTCTGAAGAGCTCCAGAGTAAAATTAAAGTGGGACATGGGAGATGTTGCTGTGAGATGTCTGAATTGGAATGTAAATTTTCTTAACTACTGTGAAGATCCTGCAGAATATTTTCTATCTGCTCTCCATGGCTCCACCTAACTTCTGGCAGCTGCTTTCTGGCCTACATTAGAAACAAAACCACTTTTTGGTTTTCTCTTCCCTCACTCCCCTAGGAGACACTATGAAATTGTCTGTGGTGCTGTTTTTCAAATGAGAGATATTTTCCCATTTCAGTCTGAGCAGCAGGGAGGGACCAACTAACATGGAGGACACATCGTATTTGAGAGTTAAAAAACATGATTAAAGCAGGAACTCCAGTTAGTGCACAACTTCTGCTGGGTCAGCTTCCTAACTTCACTAAACCTCTTGGAAATAAGCTGCCCCTATTCCCACTAAACCCAGAAAGGAGAGGTGGTACACTTGAGGAATGGTAGCCACCTATGCTGCCAGCATAAAAAAGGAATGCTCTTAGATATCTATTTATAAATCACATACTTAGAGAGGCCATAGCTGTCTTTAGCATTACCGAAATTAGGGTAGTTCTGTTAAAGTCAGTTGGTACTTTTACTCTGAATTCTTGGAACTTTGGTTCTAAGGGGAGTCTCATGTTTCTGTAGAAAAGTACCAAATGCTTATAATACCAAAATCTGCTAGTCACATTAAAATATGATGATTTGACCTCAGTGAGACAGGGGAGTAGAATCTGATGAGCATTTGCTGGTTATCTGCTAGTTCCGTTTTAACAGATGTCTGTCAAAAGAATGCCAGATAGTTTAGCCTCCAAATAGATATTTTCAGATCAATTCATGCTACCAATTCTCCTCAGAAATATTTTCATAATCCTGGTCTCTGAGGAGCTTTGGCTTGATTGTATCAGATTGCAAGACTCATCACAGCTCCATCCCAGACCAGAAATTTTGCCTTTTATATATGACCCACATCACAAGAGACGAGTTTCATCTCTTCTCTCATCTCTTCATATATAGAAGAAAAAAAAATACCTTGAGAACAGTATTTGCTATAGAACACAAGAAATACAGATTTACTAGTCTCGATAATCTTGTTACATGATGGAAATAACAGTAGAGATGAAATAGTTGGAAGAGCACTTTAAAATGAATTATTTAGAGTAAACTTCCATCATCCCAACAAAGAAGCTGAGTGCAAAAAATGCATCAAATAAGCCTGTTGGGAAACATGAGGGTTGTTTTGTTGTTTTTTTCACAAAGATGAAATAGAATTTCTGATAATGTGACACAAGCTGTTCAAGAAACAATGGGCTAGTGATATTTAGATTTAGTAAATAGTATCTGCACAGGACAAGCCATGATTTAATAAACAGGAATGCTGTCAGGTATCTACTTATAAATCTTAAGACTGTTTCTTAAGATGACTGTGCCATATTCAATATAGCATGTAATACGCACTCTTAACTAAATGCTCACTAGATGGTGATGAGTATATGTCTGCTACATGCATTTTATTCTGACTCTATAACATACATTCATAGAATACATCAAAACCACTCTGAGCAAACCACTAAAGTGCATGCCCTGAGGGCACATTAAGTATATTGTCTCCAACACTGGCTGCTCAATTGCCAGAACACTGATACAGAAAGGGCTCAATTTTGCTTTATATCCCCATTATGTGCTGAAAGAGTAAGAGCTAACATCCCCTGCTCCCTCCATGAAAGGGAGCACTGTGGAACAGGCTAATTGCCTGCTGCAAAAAAAGCCCTTTCAGAAAGAAGTAACCACCCTGAGAAGATGCTGTACAGAAATGCAGGGAGCAAGTCTTGGATCAGTTATTGGGTAAGTGGGCCTGTGTACTGGGTTAGGCTGGATGGAGTTAATTTTCTTTTCAGCAACCTGCAAGGTGCTGTGTTTTACATCTGCAACCAAAACAGTTGGTCGTTGGTTGTATGCTTACACGAAGCTTTACCTGCTGCTGAGCAGTGCCTTCACAGGGTCAAGGCCTTCTCTATTTTTCACTCCACGACCCCACCAGTCGTTTGGGGTTGGGCAAAAGAATGGGAGGGCACATATCCAGGATAGCTGACCTGAACAGATTGAAGAAATACTCCACACTATATAAGGTAACACTCAGCATCTAAGTGGGGTGGGTGTGGTTCCAAAGCTGCTGCTGTTGGAGATTGGCTGGGCATTGGTCTGCTGGTAAATGATTGCCTTTGCTTCCCCCTCCCCCCTCCTCCCATTTGCTTAGTGAACTCCACTTACATGAGTGTTTTTGTCTTTTCACTGCTCTCTTCTACCCTGCTGCAGGGACTGAGCAAGGAATTTGACAGTCATGGGTCAACCCACCACAACATTGAACTGCATTTTCCACTGTTAGTTCTCCCTTCTAGGACACACTTTCCCAATGCAGAAAGACCTTCATTTACTATGCCAATCTAAGGCCACATTAAGAAGCCCATCCTGGTTCTGGCAGCTGGGAGCTACTAGAAAGCTGAAGATGCAAATCTAAGCTGGCCATCCCATGTGTTAAATCTAGTTGTGGAACAGCAGTGAAACTCTAGAAGTGATTGGTTGCACTTCTAACCACAGTGATGGAGTAATATCAGACAAAAAAAATCCTACCTCAGAACTTTAGCTTAGCACCTGCTCTCCCTCTCATTCAGTCCAGATGATATCCTGAATCATTACCTTGGGAAGGTAAAAGGGAATGTGGTAAGATCAAGGGATAAAGGGGAGCTGACACTGTCATTTGCCACTCTTTTACTCAGCAATATGAAAATGAGACCCAAAAGAACAACAAAAAAATTTCTTCGTTTTGAAGAAGCAGTAAAGATGACATGGTGCTGTTCAACTTCCAAACAGAAAACATAATGTGGAAAAAAATTTAACAATTTAAAGAATGGTATGCCTTTTTTCTGTTTGAAACCTAACTGGTCAGAGGTTATGATGCAGAAACCAAATGCTGAGAATCAGCAATCTCAATGATTTTGTTTCTAAATCCAAATTGTCCAGCCTAAATCTCCAGTCTTTGAACACTACTCAATTCAATGGACTTTCTGAGATGATTTCTCTGTTTTAGCTGTCTCATCTGCTCCTCCTGCATTGTTATTCTCAGTGCAGCATCACTCTCTGCTTAGTCTAGACTGCTTCCCACAAAGCAGACCATACACTGGCTTTAATAACCAACAGTCAAAAACAGTATTTAATACATCACAGCTGGCAGACCCCAGCACCCCTACTGCCAAAAGTTATGCATGGGATTTATTTGCCAAAAGTTATGCATGGGATTTATTTGCCAAAATTTATGCATGGCATTTATTTGCCAAAATGTCCTCCTACTCCACTATCCCCACTAAGAAAGGAAAGCAGTCTAAATTTGTCCTGAAAAGTTGTCTTTTCAGAATTCTGTCTTCTGCTTATCTCTGTGCAGAAGACAAAGCTGGAAGAGGGCAGATTGTAGTTTGTTTGCAAATGGACTTCAGAGGACATTTGAAGCTTTAAAGGGCCACTGGAAAGCCTGTGTCTGGATGGAATGCCTTTTTGGCAGGACTGAAAAGCTCTGCATGCTGGATATACACTCAAGAATGGTGCACATGTTTTTATTAAGAACTTTGTAATGATATAGAGTTCTCACTTAAACATTACAACTATCCATAGAAAACTGTTGCCTGTATCTTTTAAACATCATGTAAATAAACAAATTTATTTTTAAGACAGGATAAACTGCTATAAAAATGGTGCACAATCAAGTCATACAAAAATACAAAATTTGTTACCAACTGCAGTCCTAGTTGCAATTACAGAGAACAGTTCCCACTCAGGGCTTCCCAGTGAGCGGAGAACACCAATCTGTGGTACCAGTCATGGCAGAATTTTTTTATCAAAATGAGCAGAATACAAGGCTTTCTTCATTAAGCACTTCCAATAACCTCCAAACAAGATGAAAACTAGATTTTCTGGAAGCAACTGGGTACCTAGTAAGTCTTTTAGCCGTGAAAACCAGCTTCTAGGATTCATCTAAGCCAGTTTTTTAATTTGTGGTGCTAAACCCCTCTGATCTACACAAATACTGGTGTTGAGTACCACTGCTATCTTAGACACTGGTACTGCAGGAATGTCTCGTCTCCACAAAACTAAGGCTGCTCCAGTGCTTCTTCTGGGCAAGTCTGACCTCTAACTTGCTCTGAGATGCCTCACCTGTGCTGCAGTTTGAATCCTAGGCTGAAGCTCTAGTCCAGTCAGCACTTACACAGATGTGTACGTTACAATTTCCATACTTAGAGAGCCCTCCTGATGCTAGTAGAGTTACAGATATAGTTCACTTAAATGAGTAAGTGCTTCCAGGACTGGATAATTCTCTTTGCCTCCCCAATAGCTATCCTTTCTATATGTATCTCTATTTTTATACCTTTAAAATAGTTTGAGATCTGTGACATGAAAAGTGTAAATTGTTTTAACTGGCTTACAGAAGGAAAAAAAAAAAAAAAAAGGTAACAAATACAAGTTACCAAACGACTTCTGGAAGCAAAAGTGAAATGTTTTACTATTGCCAAAAACATAAGAGCACTAGTTAGCTAAATGATACTACATACTTTTTTAAATCTTCAGCAGCAAGTTAAAAGTCTGATAGTCTGAAAGGAAGCACAGTTAACTGCTTACTTACCAAACCTTGATTACACGTGTTGTGCCTGTCTTTACTAGACATACCTCTATACTCCATCATAAAGCTTCTGTAGAAAGGCTCTTACTCTTTCAAAAGATTTTCTGGAATGGAGTGATTGAACCATTGAGGCATCATTATTTGTAGACAGCTTGTATTTAGTGCAATAAGTTTAAAAATTCTGCTCTGAAATATTAACTTTACAATAACAAAAATAGTTTTCTTAAAAAAATGTTAACAAAAGGAATATATAGCATAGACAGATCATTAATTCTTAGCAAATACAGTTAAGCATTTACCATTTCACTATGCTGAATAATTGAATATTAGCATTCATATCTGGTGAGCTTCCAGACTGAAAAGATATTTATGTATCTAATAATAATAAAAAAGCATGTTCTCTTGTCATTATTTAATAACTTCAGATAACTATCCTGGCAGCTACACTTCCAAAGGAATGTTTCTCTGCCCTTTCTGGCTTTAGCCACCCACTACACTATGTACAAATATGGATCAAACAACAGGCAAGGAATGATCCCTTCTACCTCCCAGAGCTCTCTCATTAGATGAAATGAAGCATACAGTACTTTTTAATGTACAGCAGTACAATTAATTTCTCTTCCCATCCTCAGCATCTTTGTATCTAGTCATGAATTAATCATGAGTATGGCTAAGACTGAACTTTAACAATCTGTTATTTCACTTGCCCGTATCGAGAATCCGTACCCTTCAAAGGAACACTGCTGAAGTGTGAAGGAGGCTACTGAACTCAAGGGGAGCATAGAGGGCAATGGGTATGAGGGGTAAAAGTAGGGTAAGCAGGAAGTTAATTGCATATAAAAATTATCTGTCCCCATTTTGTAGGTTCTGTTTAATAGGAGATGCAAGGGCTCCCACACACCTAAATACCTGAGGAGTTGGTTATTGTGATATCTGGTACTGGTAAACAAAACTGCCCTGCCAGGGCTGTAAAGGAAAATAACTCCTTACAAACACATTTGAACTCAACAAATTTTTGCTGAAACCACCTCTTGAAAAAATAAATTTGAGATCTTTTCTTGATTTTAAGGATTTCTGTACATGTCCCAAATTTAATGCAAATTTAAAAGAAATTAAACAAGTAAAACTCTCAGCAGATTAGCAGTGTCATGGGAAATCTATCTCTAAACCCAGTCATGATTTCAGATTATCTTTACAATGATACTTCCTCCAGATTTTAAAATATCAAGCAGATAAGAATCAACATTTCCATGACCACAACAAATAATTTAAGAAATGGAACAATGATAAAGCTGCTTGTAAAAGCCACCCGTATGAAAAGAGTACATGTTTCACAAAAATAATTGTTAAAAAAAGTTTTAAATCCCTGTTCCTTTTCTCTGATTTTGGCTGTTTATTTTTATATATATATATATATATAGTATGTATGTATATATGTATATATATACTGTTTTGGAATGTCAATGGGTTCCAATATGGCTGGCTAGTTTCAAGATGAACTTGCTCCAGAGGCCTAGAAAACAAAGTCATACAGTACAGTCTTAGACAGATGCCAAAGGACAAGGAGAAACTGAGTCAAAGGGGGTCACTGGAAGCCATAAAGAAGGAAGCATAAAAAGGTGGGGTTTTTTATTGTTGTGCCCTGATACAAGAACAGAACTACCTAAAATGTTTCCTCATCTCTGCTACTAATATCTACTTTAAATACAACTGCACTTAGGGCATTTCGCTTAAAGAAATAATTGCAATATCTAAGAAATATATATATTTCAAGGAAACTGAAGCAAACCAGTAAAGACTCTGTTTTTAAAAGAAGATAAAAAGGTAGTATAGATGTAATTTTCAGACATGTAATTTTGGGACTATGGGTACTATTGTTACATAACAGACTTATGAATGATCCTATTATAGATATGAGGTCCTCTATCACTGCTTTGGGGAAAGGTATCAGAAATTTAACTGTTGTGTCCCATCGTCATCAGGACGTGAGATCCTGGTATTTCAAAATCAAATCAACTGGAGTGAATGCCCAAAAATGGAAAACCACAAGGCCCAAACAGTTCCAAACAAGACAACCACATGAGAAGCAGAACTGGGAGTAATTCAGCAGGGGACTTCCACTCTGAGCCTCAAGTGCTCAACATCTTCTCTCAGCATCCTATGAAGACTTTCAACCAGTACCAGGCTAAGAGCTTAGAAAAAATTTCCTCTAAGAATAAGACCACCTTTAGTGGTGGTAATTTGCAAGTACTTGGCTTGCACTTTTACAAGGGTTGGGAGTGAATTAATTTTTTTAACATCCAAGCTTTAGGCAGTCAAGTACTAAAGTGTAAGTAGCAGTCTGTGCCAGCTCTGACAACAGCATAAATAAAAAACCACTTAAGGTAAACCAATTATTTGAAATAGAGTTTAACATAAAATTTTGAACTGAATTTTTTGTGCATATGACTAGAGAGTTTGCACACCGAATTCTCCATCATTTTCATGGCACATTTGCATTCATAGCAATTAACTTGCTCCGAAAATCCCAATGTTAATGTCTGCTTGACCAGCTAGAATTACTCCCAGAAGAAAACAGTAAATGAGCATAGAATTAGTTTTTTATATGTACAAACATAGCAGCATTTAGGCATAAGCAAATCTAGAAATTGGTATGCCATCATGAAATAGCAAAACACACAAAGCTACACATCTATCCAATCTACAGCAGGAACTCATTCCAGCTTAGTCAAAAAAAGCTCATGCAACATGGCTTCACATACATTGTTGAAAAAGTAATTTTTTCTGTTAGCATACACTTATTTAGATTCCATTTAGTTAAAAAATTATCCCCATGGTATGGAAATTAAGAAGATCCCAAACACTCTGAGAAAGTGATGATGGAAAAATGTTCTATTTGACAAAATCATAATGTATGATGACAAATCATACCTTGCCCAGCCTGGCTCTCCGTTATATGCCCTCTGTTCTCCACCTCCAAACTTATCCTCCTATCTGTTATCTGTACCATGTATAGTGTTCTTATTCCGGCTACTCAGACATGCAATGCCTTCCTAACAGGCACACCATAAGTAAAACAGGCTGCAGAAGCATAAATGATGCATTGTTCACTGTCTGTGCATCTGACAGTGTGAGATGGAAAGAGCACACAAGAGACAAGCAACATAAGTAGTTGGCAATAAAACAAACAACTGGGAGAAATGTCATTTGAGCAGGTTGAAAGGAATCACTGTATCCAATTCCTTGGCATTGTGTAAGATAATTTGGTGAGGGCTTTAAATACCTGGTCCTACTTTGCAATAATGGATGCACGCAGTAGTTTTCTTCTTTTGAGGCTTTTGCAGTGAATGTAAGATGAGCAAAAATTGTTCATCTCAGGGCTAAGAAGAGCTCTGAGAATCTCAGAGACATCTTATTTTTAGACTATTCAGCAATTGGGGCTGTCTGCATATACCACATGGCATGCACCACCACTAATCCTAATGAAATGATACTGCATTTGTTTCATATGAGACAGTTCCTTTCATCTTACTTTTACAGGAGATGGTCTCAGCTGTGACAAAAACTCTGCCATCCAGGTGATAGGCAAGCTCACAAACAGAAAAAGCAGAACATCTTGAGTGATACAGAGAACAAAAACTTCTCCTGAAGAAGTGCAGTCAGTAAAGACAAAGAGGGAGAAGAAGTAAAAGTGAAACTCTTGGAGGATCGCCACCTCCTCATCTGCACCTACCATTGGTTTTAGCTCTCTGCCCTCTGCTCCACCTCCCCGGCCAGCTTCTTTCATAGATTTCCTACTATTCTCCACAAACTCCTGGAAAAAAGTAATGAAATGACAAGTGCTTTCATAGAGAAAACATCAAATTTCAAGACAGAACTTCAAGATGTTGTAACTGCTCATCTAGGCAATTTGCATCTCCCACTTCTGCTTAAACTTGACCACAAGGTATCAAAACAGCCTGCCAAATAACCACAAAAAGTCTCCCCCACTTAATTTTGGAAACCAGACAGATGTTCGCTTTGTATGCTCTTACACACAAGTCAATTTTCACATTTACCATGCAATGCTCTCTTTATGGAGAAAGAAGGTAAAAGGCCGACTTTCAAAAAAAAATTTAAAAAGCCAAAACCAAACAAAAAAACCCCCACAACAATAAAAACCCCAAACAAACCAGAATCCCATTTATTGCCTTGTATCCTGTGCATAATGTTAGAACTCCATTAAACAAACAGACTTCACGATAATTACTTGCAAGGTTTGGCTGATTTCCCTGTCCTCAATTCAACCTCCTACATTTTCACCATATCATGATTTTCTTTCCATGAAGACTAGAAAACGTGCTATAAGATTTTAAGCAATTTTTCTCTCTTAAAGGCAAGAATTCTGCAGAAAATGTCAGTAAACTTCAGCTGCTGGAGTTTTGTGATATTGACTGCTGACTAAAGAAACCCACAATGCTTTTACAGTTTATACAGTTTTTACAGTTTTCTTCTGAGAGAACTTGCTGCATTTAAATCTTAATTCTGTTAAAAAGCAGCTAATCGGTGGCTGATTTATTTATTATGTACTACAGATTCCGTAGGGGTTTACAAAAAATTTAGCACTAAATTCTTGGCATGGTTTTCCCACAATAATAAAAAAAAATGCTAAGAAATCATGAGAATCTTCCCCTAGCATACGCATGAGGGTACATTTTACAGAGACATATTCTACACCTTCCACTTAAAAAACAGTCAAGAAATTTCCTACACAACAACAAAGTGAGGAACTTGAGAAGCAGAATTTTTACATCTTGGTGTCTAGTTATATAGTGAACAGAGAATAACATGAAATGAAAATGGACAAAATGAATTTGCCTTGCAAAAGGCCTTGACAAAACATGTAAGCTCCAGGATAGAACATAAAGCCTGGTATTTCTATGGGTGACAAAGTCCAATTCTGGTTGATGTCTATATGAAAACTCCACTGTGGTCACTATCTATGCATGAGATAGAATAATCTGGTATTTTTTTTTTGTCTCTCATATCCAAAGGGAGGTCCTTCTTGGGAAAGTTCAAAAACCAAGTTTTCACTCCTTGTTTTGCTTCTTTCTTTTCTGCATTGTGTCATTTACAAGAAGTGATATCCAAGAGTATGATTCTGCAAGATCACTGCTCATCTAACAGCTAGCAAATAGAAGCCAATACCATGGGAAGGAAGGATCATTACTTATTTGATGCTTATCAGATGACATTGTTTCCTGATCAAGCCACAAACAAGAATGTCAAGGTAAAAAAAAAACAAAAAACCAACCAATTAAAAAAACCCCATACTGAACTAAGCTAGTCCATTCATTCTGTTGTCAAAATACCTATTTTATGGACCCAGATCCTTAGACTTTGAGAGTAAGGGAAACTTACCATGAGAACTTTATCCATGTAGAATTCCCTGCCAGGGCTCCCATCATTGTATTTTGTATCGATGGCAAAACATAAGAAAAGGACATCAACAACCATTTCATAAATGGAAAGGAAGCAGTGAGCAACCAGGAATGCAAAGAGGCAGACAATGATGAGTGGCAGCACCCAGATGGTGTAATCTCGTTGGTAATTCAGCAACATAATGCCGGCCAAACCTGTGCTGCAGACAATCAGGACCTGAAGAAGAAAATGGTAGACAACTCTAATGGCAGAAGCCTTTTGATATTTTTAGTTTTGACTGTTGTTCATATTTTTTGTTTGGTCTGCCAGGGTTAGAACTAGAAGTTATAGACGGTAGGTAACCAAGACCTCTACCTCCAGGATTCCCCACATCCCTGAGAATAAATGACATTTAATTCATTTTTCAGCAGGTTCAAGTCAATTGTTACACATCCTTCAGCACAAAGTGTATTTTTCAGAGAAAATTACATTTATATTCTACTTTCATCATTCTAGTGTTATACAACATTCCTGTAAAAAAGAACTTTATCCTGTCAATTCTATAAACCCCACAACCAGATGCAATGCATCAACTAACTAATGTGTAGTTGTTTCTTTTCTATTTGGGGTGGAGGGAGAAGTTAGGTATTAAACAATAGTATGTTTGACATTTTGCTAGTGGAAACAACTTCCAAGCTTGTTTAATATCTACTTCCTCTGCATACAGGAGAAAGTAGATTAGAATTCACATGAGGCACTTAATGTAATAGTCTTTACAGAACTACACTATATGTGAGGCCCTAACAGATATTCCACTGGGTACCAGTCTGGTTTTGACAAAACCAAAAAGACTAAATTGGTGTTGCCACTTGATTTTTTTGAACATTTCCGAATGTGTTATTATGAACTGCAACTAAACACAGTTATTAAATAGGTCAGCTTTTACGAAAACACCACACTGAACTTGTAGTGGAGATGCTGATAGTGTAGCATTATTTTAGATGACACTAATTTTTATATGCACTGTTCATTTGAACATTTCTGTCACCTGAACATTTTTCTAATAATCTCAGACATCTTTTCACGGGGTATTTCCTAACACTTTTCAGATTCCTCAGTAAAACTTTGTTATGTAATTTCAGGCTCTCCCAAGCACCTGTATCTCCCTTATGTATTTATTCCTTCTCACATCTTACTCACTTATTACTGGGTTCAAAGTTCAGCCTGCTGTACTCTGATGTAACAGAAGCAGAGGAATGCAATAAGGAATACAGATCAGTCCAACCATTGTCCAGATACTTAGGCACAGATGATTTACGTAGACTGGCATTTATTGTTTCAGTAAATTATGGCACTTCAAAGGATAGAAGTAATTCACTGGATTACATTTCCATACAGTATACCTCCATTAGCTGGAAACCCAAAAGACTGACTGATCGCAGAAATTATTCTAGTTTCCTTTTAATTCTCAGAGTAGAACTAGCCTAGTTGTTTAAGCTGGCAGTTCCTCATAGCAGGCTCTATAGGCTGATTTTGTCATAAAAGGTAATCAATAATGTGTCGAATTTTCAACATAAACCTAAAGAGCCATACTAAACAGAATTTAAAATAAAAGTTTCCTTTCCTTAAAATTCTATGTCTTAACCACAAAATCAAAACCTTAAGACTTTCTTATAACTTTTCTCGACTCTCTAAAAAAATAATGCATAAACTTCAACTATTCCTCTCTAGTCACTTTTACTAAATGTAAGTGGATCATGTGTTTATGCTCCCTATCCTGGGCGGTCCCTTACTAATGTGATGAAGCTAGATGCAATGAAGTGCACACTAAGAAACAGGATTTTTAAGGCATTTTGAATCAGGGTTCAAGCTATTGCTAATGAAAGATTGCTTCTGCATAGGTCTGTAACAGCTGTATGTGGCAGACATACCTTTCCTAGAAACAGCATAAAATCCCCAACTGTGTTTATGGCAGCCACTCGCAAAGCGTTTTCCACTAGGATAACAAAGGCATCCTTTGCTGAGGTGCAGAAATTGGTGCTGTTGATAGCTGTGGCTGTATACGCATTCTGAGAAAAGGAGATTGAAGATTTATTCATAGAATGATCAGGTATTTCAGATGGAGGGTGGGGAAGGTGAAGGGGAAGATACAGCTTCTGAGTAAGACACATCCATCATGTAATTTTAATGAATAAAACCTCCCTTGAGACTTGTTGAATCAAGCAATATGAACCAGCTGATAGAAGATTATATGAGGTAAAGAATTACTGTTCTTCTCTCTTGCTCATAATTTATGCAGTAACAAGTTTGTTCAAAAAACCTCATTAAACAGAATTTGCAATTTCTCTGCAGGAGAAGGTAAACGGTAACATAGCTACAGAAATTAAATAGTTCCAAAAAATCTGGAAATATAAAAGAATCTGAGTATCATAAGTGTCAATCAAGATAATTTGGTTGACTTAACTTAAATACTTAACTAGACTGCCTTCAAGGTTAGTGAGGACAGTTTTTAAAGATTATATTGCGTGTTTAAAATGCTTTCTTATGATTTCATTTTCTACATTTCCCCAAGCAAAAAAATTAACAGCAGTGAAGGAGATATTATGTATGAGATATTTATGTATCTGATACTTATGTATGTGATATTTGTGGCACATATACCCACTTTTCCAAGGAGTCTTTTACAAGGATCAGCTAGTGTGTTGCACTTTGCAATCTTTTTTCCCTTTGTAGATGATGATGACAATTTGATGTTTTGTATAGTTTTTACACAGTGAGAATCTTAAAGATTACATGTAGAAAAGCTTAATTCTCTTTTCACAGCAAAGATATTTTGAAACACTAATGTAGTTGGACTGAATAGACATAACAGAGAATGTCTCCAGCCACTAAACACATTGTTATAAAGTTCAGAAACCATGTTCACAAAGATGAATATGGGCTATTTGTTAGTTCTTTTTTATATTCCAAAGGTCAATGTAGTGATTTGCAGTGTAATTTCAGTAATGGAGACAAGACTGAAGTATTGTCATTCAAGTTCAGTTCCAAAGTACAATATATGTTGGCATCAGATTGCACTCTGCGATATATATGCTAGTATCAGCCTTTATGTAAAACTTAAATATGGAAAATCTTACCTGATTTAAATATGTCAGGCACTTTTCTAGACACCAAAGGCAGCAAATGCAGGCTTTAAGCATACAGCGAGCACAAGCGTTTTCCTAGGAAAGCACAGAACACAGATATGTGGGAAAAGATAGATAAAGAGTTTCTTTGGAAGCAGTATTTCCTTGTGTTTCTGTAATTGACATTGAGCCTGCTAATTTAAGCAATCTGTATCAGTCCCCTGATCCTGTAAAGTCTAAATATTCACAGAACAATAGGATGGTTAGGGTTGGAAGAACTCCCAACACCACAGGCAGGGATATCTTTCACTAGACCAGGTTGGTCAAAACCTCACTCAACATGACCCAGAACACTTCGAAGGATGGGGTATTCACAACGTCTCTGGGTAACCTGTTCTAGTGCCTCACCACCCTCATAGTGAAGAATTTCTTCTTACCCCTATCTATTCCCAAACAAGACTTCCAACCTCACACATTGACTAAATAAACAGATAAATATATCAGGCCTTGAGTTTCGGCAAGAAAATGATCTCTATTTCTCTTACCTTTCCTTTGAGTTGTGTGTGAATATACATAAGAATCATTCGTGGTATCTTCACTAGTGTGATAATGAAAGACCCCTTTGCTACCGTTCCTAGGTGGTAACAAACAAGGCGATTAACAGATGCCAGAATAGGAGTAAATGGCAGATTTCTTTTCTCCCTGTTGAAAAGAGAAAAAAAGTGAAGTAGAATGATCAGTATTTATGTGGTATCATCTAGAAATGCTACAAATTCTCAATAAAATAATGTGCAAAAGGAATATATTATCCTCATACTAGCTTTTAGGATATATTGCTCACTCCACCTTGACAATCTGTGTAACTCACAGATGTGTCTCTAATGCAGAACTAGGATAAGGAATCAGTACGTCATAATGTCAGAGACTGAAATACTGTAGTTATGGCTTAAGCATTTTTATGAAGGACTTCTGCCTATTATAGCAAAACTTTATAACAAAAGATGCATGGAAGACCACAACAGCCTCAATGAACCTCCTGACTGAGGCCCTAGACTGCAAGTTGATGGAGATAAGATAAAGTGACTCAATTCTGGGCTGGCAGTAAAGAATACATTCACAGGAGGGTTAAACCTCACACCTTCAGGGTGGAGACCATAGGCCCAGGGCTATCAGCTCAAACAGACCTTCACACCAAAGACCGGGAGAAGGAAGGAAGTAAGTTTTGGATGTGTGGTGAAAAAGCCTCTGGTGAGAGGCACACTGAACACCAATACTCTGCTGTGCAGACCTGCCCAGCAGCAGTCACCTCTTCTCCTGCGAAAGCCACATCTACAGGACATTCACCTGAATGACAGCAGGAGGGGTGTCATGGCCCATCAAAAGTTCCCCTCACAAGGGGCCCCAGATCCTGCACCGTGGCACTGCAACATGATGCAACAGATCCACAGTGTTGCAAGGGACAGTGTCAAACTTGCCCTCTCTGAGACATTCCCTCCTGGCCCAAAAGTATATGAATCCATTGGATTCTATACCTTTTGGGGTGCAGGACCCTCACCACCAAGAAGACCAGATGGAGAGAAGCCACAAGATGTTGCTGGGACCCTTGGAAGCATGGTATGTTTCTACCTAACCCCTGTCCCTCTCCCTGTTCCCCTGCCTGATCTTTTTCTACATCTTTCTTTTTCTTTCCCTTTGCCTTTTCTACTATTAAAAAAATGTATCAATGGGCTTTTTTGTCACCGATATCTAACCTCCTTTGGTTTTAATCAAGTTTTGGAGTATATTTTGAACCTTTCTGCATTCCATCTGCTTTATTTACAGACACTTAGTTTTCTTAGCTCTTCTGTGTTAAATTGATTCATAACACATCTGAGTAGTGTGGTGGTGCATCCCCTTTGCACCTTCCCACCTTGGGCTGCATTATGATCTCAGAAATGCTTGTTAGGCCCCTATCTTGACAAAGAGCATCTGGGTTCACCTCCTCAAACTTATCAGAAACATAGTCTGCTCCCAGGACCTTGTCCTGTCTAACAAGCTCCTGTTCTTAAATAAACTGCCTTGTAAACTTATTTTTGTGCCCAAATACCAACATACGTAGAACAACATTTTTGTTATTGAACTTTCAAAGAAGGTATAGACCTGAATTGTGGACAAGATGGAAAATTACTATGACTAAAGCCAATTCTCTTGCAACCCTGTAAACTCCTGGACCACAGTGGACTATGACCAGCACCTCCTTTTGAGTGGGACCTCTTTAAGCCACTGAACACTCAAGTTTGTGATACTCAGAGGACCAACGTCAAATGCTGCTGACAGAGCCTGGGCTGACACCCCACTCCTCAAGCCTCAATCCTTCGCCAGTTGAGAAGGTGCAGTGGCATCTGACCTGAGTACTTCACTGAACTTGTTGTGCTCATAGTAAATTTTGTAGACTCTTTTGATAAATTACGCTACTGATTAAGTGATATTATGTTTAAGTGCTATTTAGCTCTTTAGGCCTAAACTGTTGGCCAAGTCTGGGGCAAAGAGTGGCAAGAGGGCTCATTCTTAACCTTGTGATTCAATGAGAGGGTCTCTCATTTTCATCCTTATCCTTTCTCACCCTTAATCTTTTTCCATCCCCAGTATCCACATAAATAATTTTAGGTTAAGTTTTAGATTAATTGATTTTAGTCCTAATTTTCCTTTTTAAAGTGTGCTTTAATCATCTATTAAGTAGTAGAGTGAATCTTGTCAATAAACTCTGTCATGCTTCTATACTAACCTGCTTTTGACAATACCTTGGCCAGTGATTCTCTGAGCAGCTGGAAACACTCATTGGTGACAGGTAGTCTTACTAGCAGTTGGCTGCATTACCATTAACTATTAACAACTCACAATTCCCATAAAGTTGCATCAGATGGTGTGCAATGCAAAACCTTCCGAAACAGTAAGAAACTGTGCTAATACTTTTTTAGTCAAACTACTGATAAACTTGCCTTCTCCTTGCTTGTTCTTTTGGAGAGCTTTGTGTAGACTTTAAAGAGGATATTACTAATTGATCAGGTAAACTCTGCTCAGATGTTTTTGCATTTCTGATTTAGTTATTACGTCCTCAAGGTATCAAGGGTTGAGCCTTAAAACAAGTTATTTAATGCAATGTAGCTATAATATTTCTAATTTATCAGATAAATACTCATGTTCACGGTTTCAAGCAAATTTTATTTTCTACCAAGAAATTAACTTATACATCTCTCTCAAAGAACAGCACAAATTAAACGTATAAAGAGCAGCTCCTCTTTATTAGAAATAAAGAGCATGATAATAAGCATATTAAGAAACATGTGGTAACATTAAAAAAATAAAGGATCTCCCCAGCTTGTGAGAGGTGAGAAGTTCATTCAGAAACGATACCAAAAGTAGATTTTTCACTCCAGAACACTAATACCTGCATAATGTAATCCTGAGATACTAATGATTAAAATAGGTTTACCCTGTATTTTCTTCCAATTAGCTTTTAGGGGAAGACAAATTCTACTCCCTGTTAGGCATAATCACATAAATTTCTTGAGTCTTATGCCCAGGAACCCCAAACACTTCCTCCTTTTCAGGGCAAAGTCTGTAATGCAAAACACTTTGAGGCTTATTACTGCCTGAGTTGAAAGGAATCCATCTGGCTAAGGTGAATGAGCAGTGAACACATATAAAATATTTCTCCATGGATAACCTCATCTCATTTGATTTGGAAAGCTCTTCATATGCAAAATAATGGGTAAGTGCAAATTAATGGCTTTTCCAATTTTACAAGTCACTTTTCAAATTATGATTGTATCTTAAAATGCAAAAAGAAGATAACAGTAGAGAGGAATGAGGATTTACTAACTTAAAATAAAATTGCTGTTATGGAATTATAGGGTATGGATAAAATAAAAATCATTCACCCTCAGGTGACAGAAAATACATAAACTTACAGATGAAGCATACACATTCCTAAGCAATCTATTTCAATGCAGAGTTATTATCTTTCCTCTGTATTTTCCTCATTCCTGTACTCAATATAGTTTAATTATTCACAAGATTACATCCCTGTAACATCTTGTAATAACTTTGTAGATGTACTTCATTGGTATACTGGAGAACTTCATCATTAATAAAATAACAACATTTCTGACAGCACAATAAATTGATTCCTTGCTTTTGATATTGTTTTAAAGAGTAGAGAAAAAAGGAGTCAAATGTAGTTCAGGTAACAGCCTCAATTAAAAAGACAAAACAATTAAACATCTGTGATCTAAATCATGCACTTGAAAAATATCTGCATACATTATTCTAAAAACTGATACACAATTTAGTTGACAAATACAGCAAAGAAATACGGAGCTTTAAAATTTTACATGAATTTTTATTTGTATATGATCTTGTCAGAATCTACATGCAAATAATGAATCTAATAATATCTTAAGTTACCTGTGAAAGAAAGCTTAATGAAGACTAGGGAAGCACTGTAAATAATTTAAAAGGCACTGTTGCACAATTAAAGTAATAATCAATTGCTTTCATTATTTTTTTAACCTCTACAGGTCTTACCAGTACTAATTATTAGCAAAACAGATGACCTTCCAGATGCATCCTACTTTGTCAACAACCACCCATGTCTGTAGAATGTGCACAGGTTACAAGGCAAATAAGACTTCAAATCTTATATGTCAAGAACACCATCTCTAAATGGCAAAACAGATAGTTCAGGACTTTACATGATTTTAAAAGGCTCAAGTCAATTTAACTGTTGCCCAGCTTTCACAATGGACACAAATATTCTCCCCAGAAACCCTGTTGCACATTGTTTCTGCTAAGTCAATGTGTAGGCTACTCTTAGAGAACTACGTTATCCTTACCTTGTAAAATAGTATGTCACAACAGCCCCTGCTACTGTCATCTGCTGACAGGCTAGGATAAACTCGCTGATCCAGATGAGTCCTACTACATGGTACCACCACATGTATTTCAAAGGACCTGCCATTCGAAATTCAACAAGTCCTTCTTCATTTGGGACAGGACTACCTACAAATAAATGAGGGTAAAAAAGAAAATGATGCTTACATCAACTCATAATGAAGGACGCATATAGTATTAGCAGTTCATAACCAGTTACAGCAGAAATCCCTCTACTCAGGTTTAAATGCCATGTTTAGGAAGATTGTTCTTAAGAAAGAGAGCTTTTGAGACAATAAGTATAATGGCATTTGGAAAAAAAAAATTCCACAACTAACAACCATTTCATAGCAAAAATTAATATAGTTAGTTAAACACAATGGAAGTCTACTTCAGTCATTCCTAATTTGAGTTTCCTCCTTATCAGTATTTTTCATACAGCAGGAATCAATATCAGCTCCTTACATCTAGACATCAACATTAACAATCACTTTTGTTTTCCCTATGGTAAGCTTTACAGCTCTTAACAGACATACAGGAACAGCCTTAGAAATTCTAAATATATTATTTCATATATTCAAAAATTCATTGACTCTTTCTCTAATATGAATTAGACAATGAATTAGCAATATCACGTATGGAGACTGACAGCATGTCAGAACACTCCTAGGACAAGCTCTGTTTCAGTGTGTTAATGTACAGTGAGATGTTTCATCTTAAACAACAGTTACATGAACAGCTGATGAGATTCAGAAAAACACTGCAAGGAACCTTGTGTATATAAAGTGCTTACCTTGAAAATCATTGTTTTGACTTAGCACTGACAGCACATTACCCGCATTCTTAGTTATGCTTTTATACTTATATGTAAAATTAATGTTTTCTTGTGAATAAGTTAACTATTGAAATAATTCTGGTTTCAGTGAACAAGGACTTGGCCTTATTTGCACAGTTTATTTAATTGATAATAGTGATGATACTAAGAACATATAAGCTAGAAAGATAAATTGGTTTTTGCAGAATCAAGGCAGGCTGAAGAGTTCTGTCAGTTAACTATAATATCACACTACATTCTGCTACAGATTTAGTGCCTGTGCAGTGGTCTGACTCAGAAAGTGAAGCACAGGGCTGAGACTTTCAGTGGTGACCATTTTCTGCACATAGCACAGCATGCAATAAAAACTAAAAATTCCATCAATAATGGGAACAAAAGCATGTGAATTCTGTTGCCTCCAACCCTTGCTAAGAACTCAGGATATGAAAAATATTTATTCTTGTATTACTGTGAAATAGCTTTGTGACTTGAAACACTGCTACTTTTGGGTCACTAGCAAACAACATATTTCAAAATTTTACAACATTTAATAATGAATGACAGTCTCTGTTGCTACAATGTACTGTAAAATAACAGACTTTTAAAAAATTATCTGCTGTGGGTTCTTTTTTTGCTGAAGTAGCCAAAGACCTATAGAATTGATTAATTCTAGAACCTTTTGCCAGACCCTGAATACCAACACCAACAAAGTACATCTTCTGTGTACTGAAGAGCAGGCAGGAATTAGGAGTACACTGGCTACTCTCAGAATACAGTGTACAAACAGCAGAAAAATCTCCCTAATGATTCTGGAATAATACTGGACACTTAAGTTACAAACAACTGAAAACTAAAATCACAATATTTACATTGTGGGAGACAGTAGTTCAGTGCAATGGCCCTTCCCTTACTGTGTACTCATCTGTGTGAGCACCATCTACAATATTTGTGACTCTAAGATCATGCTGTCTTTAACTTGTGTAAAATTAGAGGGAATTATCTGAAAAATTGCTATAGGAGTTTTATTAATAGAGTCATGGTTTGCAACAAGCCAACTTGCATCAAATCAAAAAGCCAGACTAACACACAAAAAGTGCCATGCTGGGAACGAAGACTCAAATGCATGATAACCTTCTTGAAATAAGTGTTCCAAAGTTAGTGAAACAGACAGGAATAGTAGCACAATAAGTGGGCTTTTTTCTTTGAGATTCCCACAAGCTTTTTAGTCAACTCTGGTAGAAATCATACAAAAATGAAGTGAAATTTATTTAAAGTAAGTGACTGCTTACCTGTAGTACCAAGAAAAAGCAGGACTGTGATCCAGTATGTCCAGAAGAGGATAAGCACGAAGAATGTCCAAAATGGCTGGAAGACTAACAGTGGCAGGTGAATGAAGACCTTGCCAGCCACGTGGAACAAGGCAATGGTGAGAGCTACTCTTTTGCGCATAATTAACACGATCAAGAACATGATAACCTAGAGGGGGAAGTTTCCAAATTACATTTTAGAGTACTGAAACAGAATCAAGCTACTCTTCTGCACAGCTAGGATATTCAAACACATTAAATTAACACATTATCTATAATATCACAAGATCAAAATGTAAAACCTCTACCAGCTTCTTCTGGCAATAAATTATTTTCCAAATTATACTTTTGGGGAATTCCATTCTCATAATTGGAATCATCAGCCTTAAGCTGATGAGATAAAACCAGGTTCTGTCCTCAATTATGTTTTACAAAACCATGAAATCAGCAAGTTTTAACCTTTAATTACCTTTAAGGTAATTTAAAATTTATATGACCATGGTGTTGTGGTCTCATAGGATGTATGTATATGTGTGTCTAATAACATAGGGAGTAAGAATTAGGGAGTAAGAATCTACAAGAGAGAATGGAGAGGAACTTTTGGATTAGGATGTGAAGCAACAAGAAGAACAGAAGAGGAAGTCTACAATTCCTGTGAATTTAGTCAAACATTGTCAGTTTTTGTTAGTAAATTCAGTGACTCTGAAATGAGCAGCAAGGCCCAAAGAAGATAAATTTGTTCAATTGGTGTTAGTATTTCAGTTCACAGATTGTTGAGAACAACTTCTTTCAGTAGGCTAAGGATTTTTAAATACACTGAAATGACTAAGTACCTCTGAATTGAGAACCTAAGAAAAATCTCTTTGGATTGGCAGTAAATATCGTATCTATTCTTGGAAGTCCCTGTGGACATTTTACAGCAGATGAAAGCAACTGCAGGGCTAGAAAGTCTCTCATAACTCAAAATCGTACATTAGAGAACAGTTCCTAGAAAGTCTCCCCTGACTCATAGTAATCAGATGTTAGAGAACAATTCCTGAAAGTTAAAAAAAATAACATAATGAAAGAAAATCGCTTCAACAGAAATTGTGGCAGAAATAACTGTTCCAAAATGTTCCAAATACAATGTTTTCACCTGAATAAAAAAATAAAGACCAAGAGGAAGACAAGAACAAGAAAATAATACAATCATTAGCAAAGCATACCGTGAAGACTGTAGCTGCAATGGCATAGATCAAGAGAGCCTGAAGATTGTCTTTGGCTATTTGGGTCTCAAGAGCACCAGCAGATATTCTTTGTTTAGCATAGAGCCACCACAGGACACCTGTACCACCTATGTTTTAGTGAGAAAACAAAAAGGATAAATTAATGATCCATCTTCTGTGTGATACATGCTACTTAGTCCCAGAAAAATAAAACAGTTCTTACCATACTATGACCACTTAAAAGATTTGCAGAACCTTAACTCTATGTTTTAGGGTAAACTGCATTGAAAGACTACTTTACAGGGAGCCCTGACAATGAATAACACAACTTCCACTAGACAGGTAATAAAGAACAAAAGGAAGAATAAATAATTCCGTGGCAGGTTATATGTATGAATGTATATGTGTGTATAATAATGCAGGGAGTAAAAATTTAGGAGAGGGAACATAGATGGACCTTTGGAATAGGATGTGAAATAACAACAAGGCAAAGAATCTTCCATTCCTAGGAACACAAAACAACAAGCATCAGCCTGATGCTGGAAACTGCACCTTAATCATATGTAGCTAAATTTGCTTCAGACAATGTCTTGAACACTGGAAAAAACATTAGTAAAATGCAAATACAATGTGAAGTACTATCTTCTCACCCCTGTTATATTAATCCTAGCCTTATGGCCAGAAAAACATTCTCCTATTCTAGTTGCCTTTCCAGGGTACAACTTTTCTTGAACACAGGTCTTCAACCACTAAGGGAAGTAAACTCTCCTCTCTGGTAGAGTTCTTTTCTCTTTTAAATGTCCTTCTCTGTTCTACTGGTATTTCTGTATCAAACGCATAACCTTAGTAGGGGAGGTTGGACTAGATGAGCCTCTGTGGTCCCTTCCAACCTTACCCACTCTGTGATTCCGTGATTACATGTTTTTGCTGAATATACTGTGTTCAGGTCTAAAATGAAGAAAGCTCTTTTGATGTCTCCTAAACAAACACTCAAGACAGAATAAGCAGTATGTGTCATAAAAGACAAATTTTTATTCAAGCCCTGTAATGGATGAAACTTTTTAGAACATAGTAACAGATGCCAGTAAGAGAAGTTATTCAACTCTTTTACTCAACATGGTTGCTCAGCTTCTAAAGAGAATATAAATGAAAAAAAAATCTGTATTTTTCCTTTTCCCTGGTCATAGATTGTGAGGCCATTAATCAGAAAACCAAAGTGATCCTGAAAAATACAGATAGTCTACTGATTTTTTCTATCCACTGCAGTTATGAATTGCAAGAATTAAATCACTAGTGCTTCCTAATACAATTATTCTATTTTTTTCCTTCTCTACAGTCATGTGCCCAGATATTTTGGCTTAGCTACCTAGTAATAAGCATAGAAAATTTTAGGTTTATGAATTTAAAAGCTAATGTGATAAAATAAGGCTATTTTCACACAAGCGACATCATTTTGGAAGAGACAACCTTTGGTCATTTCCAAGATAGCATGGCTGGTTGCATTTCACACATCATCTAGGTCACACAGGTCTTCCTGAGTCATATGGAAATACAAGGATTTTATTAGAATTGCTAGACAAGCACCTTTACTTCCTCTCTTCAAGAACAGGTTTAAAAGAGCTTCTCAGAGAACTGAAGGGCTGATAAACACGTCAGAGTTGTAAATATATTCAGCCACATTAAGCAATAGTTGCTCTTCGATTTCTTCATGCACCAGCCATTGTGTGGGAGTGCCATTAGACATATCCAGGATTAGCTGCCTTGATGACCTGTTTGGAAGGTAGGTTAAGAAGTAGGCAACATTTAGGGCTGTGCTACAAGTGCTGTGAGGAATCTCCTGCACTGACACACCTGCCCACACCTGTGGGCTCTAGTGAGCTAGGCTTACATGAAGACTGCCTGCCAAGTAGGGAGTGCAAATACTCAAGGAGCAATCTACTCTCTGAGAGAGATCTGCAATTACTAAGGTGGCATTTTTGATGTGCATCTTGAAAGGAACTATAAAAAAAGGCTGAAAGGAAATGCATGATGCAAGATCTGTGTGGGATGTAGCTGGGGAGAGGACATGGAGCACAAGGATGGGAACTGGGCACTCAAACTGAGAGACAAACAAGACTTACCAAGTGATCCCAGAATGACAAGAATTGTTAAAATCCAGACAAGTACTCTTGAAATGTATCTTATTATAACCATCAAAATCATGGACAACACTGTAAAAGAAAACAAATAAAATAAGCAGACTAATTACTTCAAGTAAATATCCTTCCTTAATTTTCCCACTGCAGTAAGATAACTGCATTCCAGCAGAATTTTTACAGACAGATTTATTTTTTGAGACTTACAAACTCACTGAATAGATAGTTAAGAAAATGAGGCACCTCTACAACTTCTGCTTTGATAAAACAAAGAGAGCATAAATACATTTACACAAAAAATTAAACACAAGACATAATCCATGCATACAGAGATGTACTTAGACAATGACCAAACAGACAGCAAGACATGACAGTACTTTGAGTCTGGTAACATAGGCACACTTCCTCAGGACCAGAACAGAGTCTGCACTCAAATACACAGGTCAAACAAGTGCAGTTAATATGGTATCTGCGTACTGCAAAATGTCATGCCAGTCATAAGTAAAAACCTATACACCAGCTAAGGCTAAGTGAGTGGTGTGTACAAGTACATACTCATATTTTAACACATACACGTTTGTGTTCAGCAGTCACATGCAAGCCACTGGAACCTGGCTTTTTGAATCACAGTCTAACCCACTGTTTTAAAATAAATAATTTATGTTTAACTATGAAATTACAAAAACTATTTTTTAATGTATGTAAATTCTGTACTAACTTCTAACTCTAACTGAACAGTAGCACTGTGAATCAGCCACTAGATTTCATATTCTGAGCAGTTTTCTACCATTATTACCAAACACTGAAGCTGTCAAGATGTAAAAATAAACAGCTTTCCAGTTACAGTTGAAAATATACACAGTGGTCTTTTGTGTGTGTGTGTAGGGGGGTTAATGGTGTCTAGCATCCTCCTCTTTTTTCCCTTCCTTTTCCCTTTCTTCCCCCTGCCCTTTTTTTAAACCACAAAAGCAAACTGAAAACAAAGGACCTCTCTATCTGATACAGCTTTGCAGTTTCTTTCTAAACAATACATTGTTCATATGCATAGCAAATATCTTGATCCTCCTATTTTAGGATTTCAGATTTTATACTTTGTATGAGTAAAATAGACTAACTAGGAAAGCAATTTATGTCATTATTGTGGGTAACATTCCAGGTCAAACAAGATTACTTTGTTAAAACAGCTCTTCAGTCTAGGGCAAGGTGTCACTCTATAGGCTTAGAGGCATCCCACACCTATAGAAACAATTCAGCACCTCTGTACTGTTAGGAATTTCCAGCTCTTCAGAAAAGGCTGAGATTTTCAAAGACCAGAAGTTTTAATTTTGAAGGAAGCGGAAGAAGGAGGTGACATATAAGGCAACAAATGGGCACCTAATTTTCTTGTTTTCACTCTTACAAGTTCTCATATCTTTGCATATGTTAAATGAAACAAATTAAATCCCCTGCATCCAACAGGAGTGTGCTATTGTGCATTTCTCAACCTGTCCTTTTTATCTGGAAGGGGTTTATTTGGACTTGAGTTGGTAGAAGATGACTACTACAGATGGGAAAGGGGAATACTATAATAAAAATTAAGAAAGAGCGGATGGTCTCTTAACTATATCAAAACTAATGTTGGCTAATTAACAGCCATGCATCCTCTATCTTGTAATCAGTGTAAGAAAGACAAAACCAGGAATGCATATATATATTACTTATGAAAACGTTACCCAGCTCTCCAACAAAATTTTAAAAAGCATTCTGAATAATTTTCTAAGAGATTGTTGCTATTATACATGTTTTTTCTCATATTGTGGTTAGAGTGTATTAACAATCTCCTAATGGAGTACACTAAGAAATAGCTAGTAATGAGAAAAACAATTACCTAGTGATAACAAGCAAAGTCCCATTATAATCTCTTTGCTGGTCATAACTCCACTAATCAGCCTGTGTAAGACACTACTGTCACTGACAAAGGTGATCAGGGCCTCTGCAAACTTGGCATAGCAGGAAATGTTCACAGGAGCACAGCGATGGAAGAATGGAATAGGTGCACTGGTGACACAAGAAAAAAAAATCAGAAAAAAAAATTACTCCTACTTAATATAAATGCCACATCAACACACAAATGAAAGGTGAATAGATGCAATCATTCCACCCTTATAACATCATAACCAGAAACCATGTGTTGAATGCACAAGTACTGCTGAAATGAGGATGATCATAATGGAAAGTGATGCAGTTCTTAGAGATATCCCTGTGAGGCTGAAGTGTACATTCCAATATGATATTATTACCCTCCCACCCTTAAATGACAAGGTGCAGAAAGTATATGTTCCTACTTCCACTTAAATGTCTTTCTTTCAAGTGTCAGGTGGTGAACTAGCAGCTGAAACAATGCCTTTCACTCATGTTAGAATGGAATACTGGTCCATATTTGCAGCTAAAGAAATTACAGAATAATAATACTCTTCTTGAGTGTATATATTTTGTGCTAAAGGACATCAGCATTCACAACTGCTGCCAACCAAAATGAATGTATTTGTTCCTAGTCTTTCCCCATACTAAGCTTGTTCTTGTATTGAATATTACAGTCACAGTATTCATATTCATTAACTTTGTTAAAATTATGCAAAACATGCCAAGATGCCTGAACCATCTTGGAAACACCCTCACAAAAAACTATTTAGACTATGCACAAAACTTTGCAGAATGCTACAAAAAAACCTGCTATCAAGTCCGTCAGAGAAAGATATAAAAGAGCAAAAACTTCCCTTTTAAAAGTGTTTTCTAAATGTCTCCCGTTTAGTGGCAGTCTGTCTTGCTCATAAACTATGTCAGATCTCAAAGTGGCCTATTCCTATTTGATCAATTCCCAATTACACTTCAGACATGAATTACATGTTCCTTTCTGTAATTGGATCCAATGAAAAAAATGTCCTTTCTATTGTTTCACCTGCCCAATCTTCCTTACTTGAAAGATTTCAGTGGCTGCACCAGCAATGAACATTATCTTCTGCAGTTCCCCATTTCAGCAATGACCTATAAATCAACGACTTTCTGTCCTCAGTAACTATTTTTTAAGGCCATGTCTTTCTAAGACTCTAACCACCATTTTAGACACATAGTGCCAGCAGCCTTAGGCACATATTTCCCATCTGTTGTTTTTCTGAGTAAAAAGGACGAAATGGTGAAAAACATTAATGTGTAATTATTCTATAAAGAAACTGGGAGAAATTACCATCACCTGCCATTTCTAGGTAATTAGTAGATTCTAGGTTGTTGTTTAAAGTCACTGATGATTGCAAATTTTATGGTTCTAGGATTACTGTGCTGAGTAGGTAAATGTATTTGGAGATGCTCATATTGATGGTCTGCTTTTGGGTAGTAATGAATACAGCAGTTAAGCACAGCATAGTAATTGTGCATTAGTCACAGCTGTTAAAAAACAAATTAAATCCATAATGACGGCTACCCTCCTTAAGAGGTGGCCCATGTATCCTTTTAGCCTCTTAAAAAATAACCTATTTTGGAATACTGCTGCTCATTATATGCTGTATTACTGAAAAACACTGAAATTTGAGAGGTTTATTCAATTGTTAACTGCTACAACTTTACAGAAAGCCTAGAGCATTTATAAGTTGCCACTACCGGTAACAAAGCCCAAATTTAAGCCAAAGGTAAAGAATGTTATTCCTGCATCCAAATACAAAAATATTCACTTTGAAAAGGGAAGCAATGAGATCAAAGTATTCTTCCAAAATACATCCCAATTGAGGAAAACATGCTTTTTGCATCAGAGTTTATATTAGTCATCTAATATCCCTTAACCTAAAGCAACTTCACTACCTATTTTAAGTTACCTATTTTCATGTGCAGTAATTAATTGCTAAGTTTGTTGTAATTAATCAAAAGAAAATAGGTTATTGGTTCCTACAAGCTTTCTTGAATAAATGAGACTCCTGAGAATCCATTTTGGAGATCTGCTTCTGCTCCAGTGGTTCTGACTGAATGACTAGGTGAGGTAAAGTGTCCTAATAAAAAACACAATAATAGACAAATTCTCCATGACCTGTGTATTTTATATGAACTCTTGATTATATCTTGATATATTATGTACTGAAAAGGAATTACAAATATCTAAGAACAGCAACATGATGCTTAATCATAAACAAGTACAAACAAAATTCAAGCCAGTAGATGATGGTTTCAGAAAGCATTATTTCAAAGCATTATTCAAATGAAGTTAGGAGATCCATCTGATTGATACTCAACTATTAGATTTCAGAGTTTTTCCTCTCACTACTATCCCTATGTATGTACAGGGGTAGTACAGCAACCTGTGTGCAGGGACGGGAAGTCCAATTGGAATGCCACTGCTAGCTGGTCTTTATAACCTCTATAGGGCAGTCCCTTGGCACAGCTCAGCACAGCTAGTTTATAGATAAATACTACAGGGGACTGGACAGGTTTTCCTCCAGGGTCCTCTAAACATGCAGTAATGTCTAGAGAGGCTGATATAGGCTGGGTGTAGAAGAAACACATATTGCTAATTGCACTGCTAGAGTGTAGTGCTCTGTCAAAGTTGGACATAATACCTTGAAGATGGATGGTAGGAGTTCATTGATAGCCTTAACTGAAAGCTGTGAAGAGCCTGGTCATCAAACAGAAAACATCAAGGGACAATCTTCATACCATATGCTACATCCATCCCATGGAACTAATGGGAATCAGAGGGTTCATAACCCTTGACAGATTGCACTGGTTTCAGCTGGGGTAGGGTTAATTTTCTTCACAGTGGCTGATATGGAGCTTGTTTTGGATTTGTGTTGAACATGGCTGATAACAGAGAGATGTTTTTGTTATTGCTGAGCAGGGCGTGCACAGAAGCCAGTCTTTTCTGCTTTTCATATGGTCATGCATGCTGGCAAGGACATTGAGGGTGCATGGGAGGCTAAGAGGAGATACAGCCAGGACAGGTGACCCCAACTGACCAAAGGAATATTCCAGACTATGTGGCATCATGCACAGGACATACAAAAGGGGAAAGAAGAAGAAGGAGGGCATATTTGAAGTGATGGTCTTTGTCTTCCCAAATAACTACTGCATGTGATGGAGCCCTGTGCTCTTAGAGATGGCTAAACACTTGCCTGCCCATGGGAAGAGGTGAATTAATTTCTTGTTTTGCTTTGCTTGTGTATGCAGCTTTCCTTCTCCTATTAAACCACCTTATATCAACCCACAAGTCTTCTATCTTTTACCCTGCCAGTTCTCTCCCCAGTCCTGCTAGTGGGGAGGTGAGCAAGTGGCTGTGGGGGTCTGGGTTGCTGAATGGAGTTGAACCATAACACAGATCAAATGTGACTGTTAGGCAAGCTCTTCCTGAATGCCTCCGTCTACAAGATACTGGGTTTTCATTTGGTTGTCTCAACAGGATTCCATTTATCCTTCAAATGACACTTACTGAATTAATTTAACTGTAAAAACCTGGAAACTAGTGGTTTACAGATACAATGTTGGCCTTTATTCCCTTAGAGCATTAAGTTCAGACTTTTCAATCTCAAAAATGCTCAAATATGTCGTACATTTTAGTAACACCATGTCAAAATTGGGAAATACTCCATCTACACAATAGCTTATTTAAAATAACACAAGGTAGTTTTCATGAGGAATTTACATAGCATCATTCGATCTCTGACACATTGTTCTATCCTGTTTTCTTACTAAGCTATATTCATCGAGACTGAATGACATGGGAACACACAATGAGAAGTCAGTATAATTCTGGCAAAAACTAGGACTAACAAGCCTTTTCAGTATGCAAGCTGACACTGAAGCTTTCATTTGTTTTTGTATTACTGCTGTAACAGCTGGCTAGATGTATGGAATATTAATCTATATGGAGAAAAGTAAAAAAAAAGTTAATATTCCAGCTGCCATTAATTGTTACTATAATTTAAAAAAAAAAGATTCAGTAGAGAGGCTACTATATATACAAGAAAGTCTTAAAATCAGAATTTGTAGAACTGACACAAATATAACATTTACAAAAAACGTAACAGAAAACTATGCAAAAGAAAAGACTCTGCAGTTACCACCCACTACTGAGTATATTTGAGAAGCTAAATTTTGAGAAAACACAAAATGGTTGTTCTCGAGTTAGTGCCATTACTGATAGAAGGCTGTACACAACAGCTAACAGATCACTTTTTTTTTAGCCATGCTCATTTCCACAGGTCCAAGCAGCAGAGCTAGAAGAGTTTATGAAGCTATGAACTTTTCAATCCTATTTCACAAACAGCACTCTAATGTAACACTTGAAACAATAAATCTCAAAATGATCTGTTAATAAAATATAACTATCGACTATCCTTATATTAGTCATTTGTGCACTGAAAGAGTGAAAAATGAAGAAATTGGCATCTATCTGACTGGCTGAGGTAAGGTGTAGGAAGTGAATACTGCAGAGACTGTGCATCCCCACATAATTTTTCCTCCCAAAGATTAAAAATGTTCCACGATTGTCTCAGATCTGCATTGCTGATAGGCAGCTGGCTATAGATAGGGTGAAAGGCAGTAAAACAGCTGATACTTAGAACAGTGTCAGTCATATGTGACAAGAGAATTTGAATATATCAGCTCAATAGTTTCAGTAACACATACATGGATAATTTGGGTTTTTCTTTGACTTTTTCATTACATTAAAAAAAAAAAGAATTTTAGAATTATATATACACTAAAACATCTACCTGGTAAGAGTGAACATCTGTTGGTATTTTCTAAAGAACTGTCATGATCAAAACAAATCTCTTTTCCCTCCACCCCAAATCAGACAATTTGATCATATTACCTCTCTGGAACAGGATATTTAGGACATAACTTGGCAGCCCTTGGGTCTGTAGTGTATTCTGATGGCTGTAGTTCATAGCTACATAGAGTGGATCCTGTTGAAAAGTAGAAAAAAAATAAAAATAAATAAAAAATTGGTAAGGAAAACAAATAAAAATCAAACATTCAACATTTTTTGCAAACAGCATTAAAACTAGTACAGGTGCTGATTCTGCACCTTCTCATGTCATTACCACAAAGCTTTGCTAAAGTTCCTCCTGTAACGTGATGAATCGAGTCCAACACAGTTGTCAGTAGAATACGATGACACTCTCCATCTAGCTTTTCCAACCCATCTAGGATTTTCCAAAGTCTGGGTATTTGAGTGGAAAAGACTAATTCACAATGTGGTGTAAAAGGCAAGGACACAAAATACTGTGAAGTCCCCCTCCCCTGCTATTTCAACATGATTTTCTGGATAATTTTTAATGCATGAACATTGCATAACACAACATTCATGATAGAAAGGAAACATTCCTGGGTTTGCAGGGGTTTTTTGTGTGTGTATTCAAAATGCAACTAGTCTATAGATTTCAGGGAGAGGAACAAAAACCTAAAATTGTTAAAGTTAGAATGTTGGCTGAGAAATAACGGAAGCTCTGCATTACATATCCAAAGTGTCTAAAAAGCTGAACTCTCTTCATAAACAAATTGGTACAGCACAGTAAAGATCAAGTTGCCTATAACAAAATTTAAATGTGAATTAAGTTTTTCTTTGTACCTGACACTTGCCTAATGGAAGTGCCTTACTTAGGAGAGATTTACTTCAATTTATCTAAAATGAAGACACTGAACATCTGACCCAATGCTTCTAGGAAATCAGCAACTTTCAAATCAGATTGGAGCCCTGGTATGCCAGAAATTGCAGAGGCAAGGAAGCCTCCAATGATATAAGCTGCCTATCCAAAGATTAATTTCCTTTCAAGCTTGTTTCCTAATAGATTGCTTACTTCCAAGTGCAAGGGCTTTTAATACATAGCTTTTAGTGTCCTTTTTCCCTATGCAACACATTAAGGACTTATCTTAAAAAGGACTTATCTAAGTCTTGATCATCAAACTAAATATTCAATTCTTTCCATTATTAAAGTGTCCTCTTTCAGAATAGTTTGCAAACTGGATCTATATAATATATATATACAATTACCCAAAATAAATCAAGAATTTTGACAAACAGCTTTATCTTGGCCTGCATTACACCAAGCAGAACTATTATTTGTCGAATTTGTAGAATATTATTTGCAGAAATTTAATCTATCATTGTTACATTTGTACCTCCATGAAGAGACCTCTTCACAGACTGAAAGAGCAGCGGGCCAACTTGCCAACAGCAACTGCCTCAGCTGCTCTCTATTTAATGCAGTCTCTGGAACACTATTTAAGTACCACTTCTACAAAGTAGTTTTTTAGAAGGCAGTTCAAACCACCAATTGAAGAAAGTTATATTTCCTACAAAGAGAAATTACAAGGTGAAACATCGGAAATGCATTTTCGACTGTACTGTTAATATGAATTCTTATGCCTCGGCTTATGTGGAAAACATGGCATGAGATAAACAGATATCAGACAAAACAACATTCCTTAGATTTAAGTTGTAAATGAAGTATCCAAAATATTTTGTCCTTTTTGGACAAAAGACTCTATACTGCTGCAAAAATTTTTAATCTGTTCTTGTAGATAAGAAAACTTCTGGATCATGTTCATTTACTAACAATTCCATCTGTTGCAGGGCCAGTAGGAGAGTGTTATAGGTGGAAAGTGTTATAGGTGTATCTTAAAAACAGAAGGAAAAAGAAGATTGCAGATATTTACGTTTATTTTGCTTTGAATATAGGTCCAAAGATAAGTTATAAAGATGGTTGCCAGCCAGCTGAACATGAGCCAGGTATGCTCAGATGGCCAAGAGGGCTAGTGGCATCCTGGCCTGTATCAGTAATAGTGTGGCCAGCAGGACCAGGGCTGGGATTGTCCCCCTGTACTTGGCACTGGTGAGACCACCCCTCAAATCCTGTGTCCAGTTCTGGATGTGTCACTGCAAGGAGACACTGAGGTGCTGGAGAGTGTCCAGAGAAGGGCAATGGAGCTGGGGAAGGGTCTGGAGCACAAGTCCTGTGGAGAGTGGCTGAGGGAGCTGGGATTGTTCAGCCTGGAGAAAAGGAGGCTCAGGGGTGACCTTATCAGTCTCTACAACTGCCTGCAAGGAGGCTGTAGCCAGGTGAGAGTTGGCCTCTTTTCCCAAGTAACCAGACACAGGGCTAGAGGAAATGGCATCAAGCTGTACCAGGGAAAATTTAGATTGGGTATTAAAGTAATTTTTTCATCAAAAGGGTTGTCAAGCATTGGAAGAGGCTGCCCAGGGAAGTAGTTGAGCCCCTATCCCCGGAGGTAGTTAAAGGATGTGGAGACGTGGAGCTAAGGTAAATGGTTTACTAGTGGACTTGATGATCTTAAGGGTGTTTTCCAACCTAAAGGACTCTCTGTTTATGATTCTATGGCACGAACAAGGAGCTCTGTGGGAAGAAATGGGATATATGTTATGTGGACAAGTGTATATAGATTCATGAAACAGAGTGTTTGGGGCCAGCTTGGCCATTCTGCCCAAGTGACCAGTGTGTACTACAGTTTAAATGTTGTATGCAAAGACCCCAAAACATCTAAACAAGACTAAGGGACAGGGCTGGTCTGTGGATGCCCATGCTCCCCTTTGACTTCTAGCAGTTCAGGCAGGAGAGAAAAAGGGCAGGATTTACTATTAGGAAAGGAAACTCTACAAATGTGAATCTGGAGATCTCTTTGGATGACAAATGTAAATGAAGCAAAATCAAATGCCAGACCTTGATGTGCATACAGGTCAGAAGCCATTCAAGTAAGACCTGCAGGGTAACCAAATACACTCCTGGCTGTAGAGCACACTTGCAAGTACCTTGACAGCTCCCTCTGGAAGCCAACAGTATATTCACTCCTGTCATGTCTGACAACTCAGGCTGCCACTAATGTCTTGCCTGGGATTTGCTTTTGGGCTACTCTGGATCTCTTCCCTTCAGATGCCTATCTCATGGCACGCTCCTTAGTCACAGCCAAGAAGAAAGATATTTTCATTGAGCTTGTCAAACAAAGGATATTAACTACCCCGTATTTAAAGAAACTACTAGTCCCATAGCTGAAATAACACCCACCCACCTTTTGTCACAAATAACTAGGCAGAAACTCTAACTATTCCCATAAATATTTATTTATATTTTGAAAACCTTCTGACTTCTCTAATACTGTGTAGGAGAGCTTTAGAACTCAAATATGTGCTTGAATAATGTCACTTTACATTAAACTTCAAACTGATTTCTTAACAAAAGAGTCTGTGTGCATCGCTAAATAGAAGTTTTCATTTTCCAAGGTGAGAGAGAAGAATGAACTGCATTATCAAACCTTCCATTCTTATATTAGTTTCTCTGGGTTAGAAGAGACCAGCATAGCCAAACTTTTTGTTGCTGTTGAAGTTGGTAAGGCCTGAAAAAGTTGAAAGAAACATTTGAATCATCTACCTTGACGAGATAATTAGTTTACCAAAGACAGTACTTTTTATTCCTAAATTATTATCACTCATAAATGTTTGAAAACCAGTATGAGCAGGATACAGAGAATAAATTAAAAGATCACTGAAATAATACACCCTTTGCTTCCTACAGCAATGCACTTATTTTTTCTGGAGAAACCTTTAGGCAAATGACATCAAACTGTCCTACAGGGATTGGATTTCAGATCTCAACATGTTGTAACATTAAGAAAAATACTTGTAAACTAAGCAGAGCATCAGTGTTTGGGCTACTCAGTAGTGTGCCTGTGTGCACACTTTGGTCCCACGATACTGTATTTGGTGGTTTTACACACGAAGTGGTATCATGGAGACATACCACAGTTTCTGTCCCATGGTTTCTTTGCAATGAATATAACTGCTCCAGCCGTTATAACATATTGGAGTCATAACTGGAGCAAAGTACCTCAAAAGATAAACTTCCAACCTAGCTGTAGGAACTTCTTTTCTACATCTCCTTTCTGTTTTACCGAGGCTTGGATTAGTAAGAAGCTAAACAGCCATTATCTCTGGCACTCATAGAAAACAGTTATATTTAGCCCAACTTTATAAATAAAGATGCTGTAGAAAGACAGGACTTTCAAAGATTCTTTCTAATTGAGAAGGTAAATTATTGAAGGTCTTGTGTGCTCAGAAGACACAATACACAGAAGACATAATGCCTTGCTTTGCATGCAGTACAGTAAACAGGAAGGTCCAAACTAACCAAAGATGGTTAGGTAAAAATACTTTTAGAGGCCAAAGCTCCAGTACAGCTTTCCTTTGTGTATTTGCTTTGCTGTAAACCAACAAAAAAAACCTCTGCTAAAGCATCATTACTATAAAGAGTTTATAGCTTGAGAAACTCTAAGATTCCCTAAGTCATCCAATAAGAGGAGCAGTCCACAGAGGATACCAATGACATTTATAAGTCAGGGAATACCCTGATTTATAGTAGTGGAAAGTATATCAGGGGTTTTGGATTCCATTCTGGGAGCTCAGTAGTATCTACTAGTCTATCAACACTTATTAACATCAACTAAAACAAAGACTTTCAGATCTAGAAACATGGACTCATATTCAGAGTCAGGGATTTAAGCAGAAAAATACAAAGCTGTCAGGCTATGGTTGTTTTCTTTAAAAGAGTCGAGCAGCTATTAGTTGCTGTTAAGTTGTTTATTGTAAAGGCACATCAGTCTCGAAAGGCAGAGTCACAAGTGTTTAAGTCCATGCTAAAGTTTTCAGCATAGAGTCCCAACTGGAAGTAAAGTCCCAATTAGAAGCTGCTCCTGTCTAGGCCCCGGGAAGGCCAATGTTGCTGTCACAGCTCCTGTATTCTTCCAGATGATGATGATGGAGGTGGGGAGAGAAGAAAAGTGAGAGAGCAAGAGCGTGTCTCACCCCAATGCATAGATTCTTATACACAAATTACCCAATAAGCTAAAAACACGAACCATTTCTTCTTAACCTAGTTCTAGTTTCTTAGCATGC